AAAAAAAAAAAAAGCAGTAAAGGTGAAAGTGTGCCGGGTTGTATGCGCAATTTATTAGTCAGTCGAGTTGAACGACTTCGTGCTGCTGTTATAAAGGCGGTAAAATACAGAAAACAACAAAATAATATTTTATATGAGGATTCGGTTAAAATGCTGAAGAAAGATATTGTCAATAGCCCTAATCATGTATTCGGTGATCATGAGAATTGTAGTGATTATTTTTGCACGAGGAAAAATTTAGGTATAGTAATAATTATAATATATTTAACTGTTTGTACCTACTTTTTGAATAACGAAAACACAATGAGGTAAATTTAATAGGTAGTTCTGTGTTTGTTTGCATGTTTATTGTTTACGATAATAAATATTTTATACAATAATATAATTATGTACACGTATTCAAATACCCATCTATACATTATGTTATTTACTAGAATTTTTCACATTAATACGGCTGAGTCTCTCCAATATACTATTTATTACATAATTAATTATTTATTATAATATGACAAACCACACAGTTTAAAGTAACCTTTTGAAATAGGTAACAAATTAATCATCGCTTTATTTTTTTTATTGCTTTAAGTTTAGAAAATGGATCATATAACAACAGTTTTAATCCATCGGAGCTAAACGTGATCAGCTGAGAGTAAGATTGGGTATGTTACGCATTTGAAAGACGGAGGTTATGCTGGTGGAAAGGTAAGGAATCAATAAAGCATATATTATATTTTCCATGTACCTCAGTATAAAATGAGTTTTGCTCATAGCACACGTCCTCTTAACCAAAGAACCTCTACATCACCTAAGCCAACTTCCTCACCTACTAGAACGATTTGCAACAAACTACAAAGTACCACCTCAAATATACCATAGCCAAATGGCAATTCCGAATTCGCCTCACAATTTAAAAGCTGCAACCAATACGATCAACAGACAACAATAATATGATATCAGTACGTGTCTGACAGCCGACCGTGTAGCACGTGTTTACCTTCTCGCGAGTGCGCATTTAATAGCTTCCGATAGCACATCTACCTGCTGGACACCACGGACTAAGATATACAGGACTGGCAACGAAAGATTGGAGGAGGGTGGGTGGCCGGAACCACAATGTAACGATTGTAGTACATGAGCAAATGTGGCTCTATCTATTGATAATATTTAGCATTTGTTACACATGCATTTATATGCATATTTCTATTTATAATAGTTTATTACATTTATACGCACCTATATTAGTTATTATGTATTAGTATGTAATGTACTACATTGTACGAAACTACGAACTATTATAA